GTCCGGACAGCTGAGTCGCCATCTTGAGTTCCTCAGGCTGCAAAACAAAGAGAGAAAAAAAACCATTTCAGGAACAGAAACGTAGCATCTCTCATCGCAGCGCCTCCATGAAACGAGTGCCTGGTGCACAGCTTTAAGAACACTCAGCCATTCTGAGCGGAGATCTAACAGCAGCAGGAACCAACACAGCACTTCCCTCACCCAGCTGCACTTGGCACGGAGGTGCTGCACCAACAACGTGCACCTTCCTGGCCGTCCATCTGCCCTCCCAGCCAGGCCAGCAGTGGCCTTTCAGGAGTTCCGCCAACTGGAAAAGCATTGCTGCCCCCTGGGCCGTTTTCAGGCTGCCTGCTCAGCAATTCCTTCCACAGCCAATTCCAGCTTCTGGCGTGAGCGGCAGTGGCAGAAATGAATAAATCAGCTATCCGAAGCTTCAAGGAAATAAATTTGAAACACAAACAAGTATCCAAACAAGTATCTTTATCTGCTGATATCAGAAACAGATTGCAGTAGACAACCTGAAAGCTGCGCTGAATGTACTAAGTTACAGGTTTGTGTTGGCAGCCGATTTAAAACTAGAATAGAATCTGTTTGGCAAAGATGCTGTGCGCTGCCCACAGCAATTTGGAAAAAATCCACCTTCTGCACAGGCACCCAAGGCTCAGAAGGAGTTCTGACTTCACAATCCTCACGTCCACACTTCCACCAGTCCCACAAGTCTCACCACAGGGCAGCACCCTGAGTACCAAGCTGCCACAGCAGCACAACATCCACATCCAGCCTGGCTGCATAAGGTGTCAGAGCCCCTTTCCTGCTCTGGAAGCAGCCCAAAGGAGCTCCAGCCCTGCAGGCAGCACTGAGAAAAAGCAGCTCAGGGCAGACAAGACTCTGCACAAGACTGAAGGCAGCTGGAACACGCAGCCTCGCTGCATTACCTGCACCTCCCTGTGGGAAGCGTGCATCTGCAACACTACAGCCAAGAACACGACAAAAGCCGACTCCACTCTGGATCCAGGTGAGATTTTAGTGGAAACCATTTCTGCACACCAACAGCAGCAGCCTTCTGGAGATTCCCTCTCATCCCTCCTTGCACTGAATCACTCGGCTGAGAAGCTCCTTGCCTTCCCACCCCTTCCATACAGTTATCATGGCAGCACAGCAGATGCCTCAGCCAGCCTTTTTGTTCTGACACTTTGGCTTCATGAACTATAATTCAGCAGGCCAAAACAGCAGCTCCACATCCGAGCTGCACCTCCAGCAGCACAACAGCCCCCAGCCCAGAAGCACTGCTGCACTCCTGGCAGCCCCAGCCAGCTGACAGCACAGCCAGCACCAGAGAGCCCAGCTCCACCCATCCCAGCCCTGTGGGCAGTCACCAACTGCATCTGTGCACGGAACCAACACGCCCTCCTCCTCCAGGCCAGTGTTACTACAAGGACTCAAGAACAGCCCGGGCACCAGGAGGACGGGCTGAGGGCCAAACCCCTGCAGAAGTAAGCAGAAATAGGCTCTGTCACACGTTCCTAACAGGCAGGCACTTACAGAGCTGTCTCCTTTCTTAGGTGCAGAAGGCTTCCTTGGGAAGAGGATAAGCTTGGAGCGATACTCCTTCAGCCGCTGCACGTTGGCCTGCAGGGACTCTGTAGATTTGTTTCTTCGCCTGGGATCCACGGAGATCCCAATGGTCCGAGCGAACCTTTTGTTAATGCCAGCCAGCTAAAGAGAGAGCACAGAGGCAGCAGTCAGCACCGTGCTGCTGCGGGTCCAGCACAGAGCAGATCAAGAGGCAGGGCACCCTTCAACAGCACCACACAGATGCATTTCCTGAGCAGTGATGAGCGGGGTGTTCAGGCTCTGGTACACACCATATGAAGTTATGGAATGAGGAATCTGGTTTGAAAAGTACAGCCTTACTGCTCTGATGCACTGATCTCACTGCTGCATTTTTATGAGGTTCTGAACAGGACACGAGGGGAGGCTGTGGACGCCGGCTGCCAGCAGTGCCCAACGCTTCCTGCTGCAACCCAACACCAGCAGCTCCCCGGAGCACCAGGGCTGGGAGCACAGGACACATTTTAAAGCAAGGTGAGGGTGCTGGAGACCTTAAGGTGATCGCAAGCTGCTTATTACACAGCTTTTATTTGAAGTGAAGGTGAGGAGCCTCAATTCAAGCTCTGCCCAAATCTGATTTTAAACAAACCGTAGTACCTGACAGCCCAACCACAGACACAGCGATATTTACTCTTCAAACCAACCTTTCACTGACATAACCACTCCTTCCCCATCCCACAGCTGCAGAGGCACGCAGATGCTGACATTGCAGCACAGTGCTGAACTCAACTATCATTCATACGGAAAACAACAGAGCAGGACAACCCAACTCGAGATCAGCAGCGAGTTTTATCAGCGAGGATGGGCTCTCTATACTTACTTTAAGCTCTTCTAGGCTGAAGCCTCTGCCAGCACGAACTTTTTTGTGGTATCTGACAGTCGGGCACCTCACTATGGGCCGGATGGGCCCAGCCACGGGGCGAGGCGCGATGCGACGAGCCTTTGCCTGGCGAGCCTTCCTCCTGCAGCGCGGGGAACAGCGGTCAGAAAGAGGTATGGCTGCCAGAGACAGCGCTCAGCTCACTGTGCTCCCCAGCAGGGCAGCGCCTGCCACGTGGGGTTCGCCCGAAAACAACCGGGACACAGAGCGAGGACGAGCGTCGGCACTGCAGAGCCGCCGCAGCCATCAGATAGACAAGGGTTCAAGGGAATCATCAATGCAGTACAGCGATTCCGGAGACTTCTCATCACCTGACTGCGGCCGGACCAACCCCCGAGGGCCCCGTCCCGGCTGTGCGCCCCGCGGTGACACCGGCGCCCTCCCGAGCAGCGCTGCAGGCCGCGCGCGGCCCGGCGGCACTCACCTGCGGATCTTGCGGGCGGGCTGGTTGAACCACGTGGCCACTCGTCGTTGCCAGTCCTTATGGAAGTGCGGCTTCAGGATCATGCCATTGCGGCTGGGCGCCATGGCTGCTCGGGCCTGCGGACACGGGCAGGGCTAGAGGCGGCCGCCGGGGCTGCAGGGTCCCGGTACTCGAGAAGGCCCGGTGCAGGCCGAGCCCGAGCCCCAGTCCCCGTCAGAGCCGCCCTCGGGGCCCAGCCCCAGCCCCCCGGGACCGGCGCGGGGCTCCGAGCGGCCTCCGAGCGCTGCCGGACCCGGCGCAGCTCTCGGCGGGCGGATGGCAGCGGATGGAGCCCACCCCAACCGCGGCAGAGCCGCCACTCACCTCCCGCCACGGAAAATGGCCGACCGGAAAAGGAAGCGGCGGCGCGGCGCACGCCGGAAGTGTGGTGGCAATGGCCAATAGGAAGGGCCGTACGTACGGCCCAATGAGAAGGACGGTTCCGGAAACATCTGGAAGCGGCTTCACCGCACCCAAAATAAAGATGGCGTCGAATTTAAAGAGCCCGTACCCCACGCTGGCGAGCAGGCAGCGGGCTCGGCGCTCCTTCCCCGGCTCCCGCAGGGATGCAGGCACGCTGCTGGTTGCCTCCTTGCTACCCTCTACCACAGCCCCATCTCGAACATGCTCGAAGCAGCACCCGTGCAGCAGTGGGACCGAGGTCAGGGAGCACCGGACCTTTGCAGAGGTTGGATCCTGCTGCAGCCTCAGGCTGGGAAGGCAGCGTACCGCTAGATGGCACGGGGAGCACTGCATCCCCTGCACCCCCTGCACCCCCAGCAGGGGCGAGGCTGTGCCAGCAGCACAGCAGCAGCAGCACAGTCACAGACTTGAATCCTCGTGTCAAAAGGTTTATTGAGGCAGCTCGGAATTCAGCCATCCTGTTTGACAAACAAATCAAAACATTTTCCACCTGTTGCGAGACAAACAAATTGAGAGAATGAACCACCTGTAAGGAAACAAAGAGGTCTGAAAGAAAAGAAAAAAAGCATAGGCAATAGCATCCCCAGCTGAGAAAATCATTTCTGCCCAAGAACAGGGCAGCGTCCCCACCACGGGCACGAGGCCCAGCACAGCCAGGTCAGCAGCACAGCTCGGGGGCACCCAGGTGAGCCACGTGGATCAACCTTCTCTCCACTCCCAAGGGAGGGCTCAGCTCCAATCTGACTCCAAGATGAAGGCCTAAGGGCTGGGAATTGAAAGCTGAGGTCTTTCAGGTCACAGTCAGTTCTCATGGAAAAACTGCAGACAAGAATCCTTCCTGAAGGGGCCTTACCAAGCCAGAGCACAACAAGCACCAATAATCACTTTGATCTTTCCCTGATGAACAGCAGTCAACCATTTCATCACAGCGTGTTTCGCCAACAGCCACGAGGACAGGGACAGCAGAAGTGCCAAATTTGTGCAGATGCACCCAGGAAGAGCATCTGCATTTGAGTGAACCGAGCATAACTCCATCCCTACGAACAGCAGCACTGCTCAGCAGTCTGCCAACACACACTGGAGCCATTCCCTGCAGTGCTGCTTCCTAACATCACACCATCAGGTTATGCTGGGTTACGAACACAGGTTCCCTCATTCTCTGCTTCTGAAACCCTTGCTATAAAAATCAGATAGAAGCTACCAATTGGGGGAAAAGAAAGCCCACATCCTACACAACTCCACAGCCGTAATAAGCACATATTCTACAAATGCAGCAGCACATTCAAGATAATTAATTCTAGTGAAGTTTGTTTCCTATTCTGTGTTCAGCAGCAGAGATGAGCACAGCTGCATAACAGCTACAGCACCGTACCCAGCAGAGCCCTGCTGCCTTCCACTGTGCTCAGACCCTTCTGGTGCTGAGAACAGCAGTGCACTCCTGCACGCACAGCACACAAGGACTCCACACCATCCTTCACCCTCACGAAGGCACACACTGCTCGTGTAAACACATTCTTTCCAGCAGATTAATCACAAATATCCTGCTGAGAATCAATTTCAAAATCTTCAGTTCTCCTCCCTGCAGGTTAAAGCTTGTGTTACAAGACTAAACGTAGCCATTCCTTTAATTTCAGGGAAGTAGCAACACAGAGATGCCCTGCTCTTTATTTTTGATTTCAGAGCTGAGAAGAGGAAGGGTTTGTGTTCAAAAGAAGCTTCTAGAGTCCTCCCGTTCTGCATCAGGAGTGGCCTTCACACTGGCCTCAGGCGTGGTTCTTCCTCCTCCTCATGGTTTGGTGGCTGCTGGGGCACTTCTTCATCTCGAGTGTCTTGCTTGTCTCTCTCTGCTTGAAGCCAGCTCTGAGGAGCTATCATTTTCTTTGGCCCGTAGGGTGGAGGCCCAATCAAAGCTTCAATGTCATCATAATTTATCACTTCTTTCTCCAGTAGGGCATTAGACAGCTAGAAAGAGTAAATAAGGCATAATGAGGCACAGAGGTTTGCAAACAGTCCCTCTGAACTGATCTGAACTCACCCTACCAGCTCAACTTGGACCTCAACATCTGGACACAGCACGTGCTGGCGCCCGCGAGGAGCAGAGCCCAGCTACCACAGCACAGATAGCGTGACCTGGACGCCTGCTGGAGCAGAACAAAGCTCTCCAGGCAGCTGGCACCTTTCACAAGAGTGATTTTTGCCAGAAACACTCAGTGTGACTGGAGTCCATAAAGTATCCCCCAGGGAATGATTTGGCGAGTCAGAACACCATGGCGATTAGAGAAGTGCCCTTACTGCCACTGGCACTGCACCTGTGGCCTTGCCTAAGATGCCACAGTAACAGGAATTGAGACCGGAGCCAGACTCACACTCCTCTGTACACAAATAACATGACACAGAGATAACAGAGAGCTGTTTTGTTCCTGCAGGCATGGGCTGAAGGTCATTAGAAGGTCCTCCCCAGAAAGTTAAATTCCCTGGTCCCTCTGCCAGTAGAAGGACCACGCTTGAGCAGCAGGTGGCCCTCCAACATGGAACTGCTCAATTCTGCTGACAAGATGTGACACACTGACCTGGCAAATGCAATGCTCTGTAGATATTTTGGCTTAACTTAAAAGTTTTTCCCGTGATGAGCCTCTAGCAAACATCTGATTGTTGTTAAATGAAAGCATCAGAACAGAGGAGGCCAGCAGAGAGGAGAGCCCCCAACAAAGCCTGCCTTCAGAGCGCTGCTGGGGCACTGCCCTGGGGACAGAACTGTGATACGGGCAACAGCAGGGTGCCGAAGCAAGCAAGTTCTGGCCACCTTATTATGCATAAGGAGGCCTGCTGGTGGGTAGATGGAGGTGGCTGTGCTTCTGTTGTCACTTGAGATCCTGAAAGAGAACTGACTGGCTAGGAGACTGTCCAGACACAAAGCAGAGGAGACAAAGCTTACTTCTGCAATAAGGCCTCCTTGATATATTGGGTATCAAGGAGATAGCAGGTGAAAATTGCCTGGAGTATGCAGACAGAATCAGCCAGCACCAGCCTACCAATTCAGCAGTCCCAACACAAACCCCAGAAACCCCATTACAAGGCATTTTAGGACCACAGAGACACTGCAACAACCAAGAGCACAGAAAGTATCAAGGCCAAACCCAGCAGTTAAAGGAACTCCACATAACTCCAACTTACTGTTTGCAGCTTATCTCGGTTGTCCAATAGGAGTTTTTCTGTGCGTCTGTAGGCCTGAGCCACCAGCACTTTTGCTTCCTAGAAGATAATAAGAAGAGAGATTTGTACTGCAAGTGGACAAACAAGGAGCAGAGACCTTCACACAGCAGCACCTCTCCCTCCCCAATTGTCTGCCCTCAGTTCCATAACTATGCTCCCCCCCTCAGCTCCATCTCCTTCATGTTCAAGTTATACAAAGCACTTCCCCCCTTCTCCAAAAGTCACATTTGTACCTCCCACCTCCCAGAAGCTCTCCAGAATCTTGTCAACAAAAGAACCAGGACTGCAGCTTTCACACTGCAATGCACAGAACAGACTGTATTTCACAACCACTCACTGCAGCTCCAGGCAGCGCAGTGCTGCTGGGCTGGACTCACAGCTGTATGTGACTTTGCTCTTAATGCCTCACTGAACAGTCCTTGCACACACAACAGTACCAGGCTATCTTAGTGCTCAGCTGTTGAATTTTACCACTTAATGGCTAAATGAAAAAAAAAAAAGCAAAGCATTCAGGTACAAATTTATGCAATTTCCAGTGAGCAACAGAAAGTGAAGAACAAAGAGGAAGAGGTGAGCAGCCCTACGTGGTCCATCATCTGCTGAAGGCCCTGGCTGAAGGGGCGCCGGCCAATTCCAACTGTGCTCTCCCCATCCGGAAAGGAGATCTGCCCGATGCTGGGCACCATCCCATACTGCCTCACCATGGAGTAGGCTATCTTGGTCACCCTCTTCAGGTCATCCTGTGCTCCTGGGTGAGACAGACAGAAAGAAGGTGCAGCAGTCTGAGATGAGAGCAAGAGGAGGACGTCCAGCACAAACACACATTCCACCAGTCAAGGGATCAGAGGACCTGCAGGAATCCAGGCAGTGAACGCGCTGCCTCACTGTGTGCACTGCCAGCACATTCTGGTAGCTAGCTCATACAGGCTGCTTCCCTGCCACTGCTTTGCTCTTATCCCATCTAGCTATAAATGGTTGGAACTAAGGCACAGAAAGCTCCAGGCTCTTCCATCAGCCAAGAGTCTCGCTGTGTAATTGCATCTGTAGCCTTAGACTTTGGGACAAGTCTGAGACTACACAGTTGGAACCCACAATGAGAGGCCTTCACGCTCACAAACCCAAGTCCAAGATCAAAATAAGCACTCTGAAATTTCTCCTTCCCATTCCCAAGGGTGGGAACCTCTGCTTCACATTACTCTTGGGTAGAGCAACAAGTACAAAGTTCAGACTCTTGGCACGACCTCCCCTTGCTTGTGTCAGGGTCTGTCCCCTCACCTGTGGTGACTTTGTTAAAGGTGATGGCTTCAGACACTCTCCCTCCCAGCGCCATACACATCCTCTCTAGCAGCTGCTCCCTGGTGAAGAGGTACTGCTCTCTTGGAAGGATCTGGGCAAATCCAAGTGCTGCATTTGTCCGAGGGGCAATGGAAACCTGCAAAACAGAGCAGCTCCATTGGTTTGGAGAACAAAAGAGCTCTCAACAACAGCAGCAGCAAACACAACGAGGTCTGCCCTCCCAGGGATGTTTGTTAAAAGCAGTGGGGCTTGCTCACTAACCTACACAGGCATGAACTACAGTTGCCATTCCCATACTGAAGGCTCTGCCTTCACAGATGCGGAGTAGCTTTCCTCACTTTTAGAACAAGAAATAAAAAGTTACCCTAAACAGCAAGCCAGTAAAATCTTGAGACTTAGGAGTGGCTTTGAAGGATGTAAGCAATGGGAGTTTGCTAAACCATGTTCCAAAATTATGGGGACTACCTAACAAACACACAGGATGCCTTCAGAAAAATAAGACCCGATTCCCTCATCCATTAAACGCAGCCACATTTTGTTGGAGAGCAATTAACAACAGTTCAGCTTATACAATAGGTCATTCAGAGTGAATTTGCTGCTGGTGGCGGGCCAAGAAGCCGTCATTCTTGTCATTTCCACCCTCCACCTCTCCCCTGTGTCAGGGCTCTTTGAGGAGACGTGCATGGGACAGAACACACCCCGGGGTGCCAAAGGGGGGCCTTTCCTGCAGAGAAGGGCTTCAGGCAGACCAACTCTTCAGCGAGCCAATCTGAACAACACATCTCTTTCGATTAGTATCAGAGCAGTTTCTCCAACGGCCTGACTGGTAGCTGCAACATGCTGGCAAACCGCAGCAGGGAAGGAGATCACGCACGCACACAGAGCAGCGCTTTGTGCTTGGAGCAAGTGCATGAACTGAGCAGCAGCACCAGAAGATTCAGTTGCTTCAGATGTGCCCAGCAACTGGGTAACCAGCAAACACTGGGAGCGCTTCACAGTCAGCTTTTAAATGCCAGAGTTCCCCCGTGGCTGATTAATCAGCCTTGCACCACCGCTATCAACCCGTTTCTCTTGACAGCGTATTTGCAGCACGGATTGCAGCAGTATCCGCAGCCCCAAGTTCATGAAGATGACCAGAGCAACGCAGCAGAATTAAACACAAGCGCTATAAAATAATCAGCACACCTTGGGCAGCAGCAGCCCAAAAAATCCTCTTCCCACCCAACAACACACATCGTGACACAGCAGCTGGTGCCAGGGTTACCTTCATCACTGCCTCCGTGTGCTCCAGCAGCCAGCCGACCAACGCGTGGCCCGACTCGTGAAACGCCACCACCTTCCTCTCTTCAGGTGACAGGATTTTATTTCTCTTGGCAGTGCCTATCAGAGCACAGGCAAGGCTCAGATGAGACAGCAGCGGGCAATAGGTGTAAGCAGCAGGACACAACCTGTTCAGCTTGGTGCACAAGCCAGCGCTGTCGGTCTTCTCAGAACACACTTAATCATTACACAAATAATTTAAAACTCTCAGTTGAATCACAGCTCTAGAATGCAAAGCCCAGTTCTGCCCCGGGCTCTGCCACAGGCTCGTTACACTGTATTCCTGCTGAGGGACATATCTGCAAAGTCAGTCTACCACTGGGAGGGTGGGAACATCCACCCCCCCCCCCCAGAAAAACACTACCAAAAAAAAGGAAAAAGAACAACAGGACTAGCTGAAGTATCATACTGATTTTGCTGTATTTCAGGCCCTAGGGACAGGAAAGAAGAAAGATTTTGAATTACATATATAAGAAAGGTCCCAGATGAGACTGAGTGCTCAAGTCAGCAAAAAAAACACGAGTATCTACAAAAAAACCCAACTTCCTCCAAAGCCAAGAAATCTCTGATTACAGATAGCATGCTCCACACGAGCTCATTCCCAGGCTCCTGAGAACTACCAAATTAAGCCATAACTCACACTTAATACTTTCTCCAGAAAGGTGATTTTTGAAAGTGTCTATTTTCCAACCCAGTAGCCCGTAACGCACAGTACGTCCAATTAGGATTCCAAAAAATGCTGAATGGAAGTAAAGCTTCCAGCATGTACAGAATACGTTAGATCCAGAGTACACTGCGAATCCAGCAGTCATTATAGCTCTGTGCATCAGATGCAAGAAGGTCCCAGTACTTGTAAGTGGATGCCTGCACTGTGCCAGGAGCAGCAGGGCAGAGAGCAGGCAGAGGTACCAAGGCTCTTGATGCCTTGGAAAACAGCACTCTATTAAACATTAATTTTTAAACAAAGTCAAGAGCTTTATTAAACAAGGAAGCAGCAAAAGGAGCACGGCAGATCTTGCAGAAGCACTGCTTAGGGACCCTGGAAACCACTGTGCCCTGGGAGGCTGACAGCGATGGAATCGCAGATGAATCGCAGCAGCCCTGATTTTCATTAGTCAGCTCCTTACTCTGCCTTCAGCAGCACGTGGCACGTCCCTGTACACACCCTTCTACAGAGAGATGTATGGATATGCTGTATACAGCTTTATGACTTTTTAAACTCTGGTAGCATCCCTGTCAGCCCATCGAGAAGCGAGGGACTGTGCTCTCTTCACAACAGCACAAAGCGTGAAGATTGCTGCTGCCCCCAAACGAAGTAAGCTCCAGGCTGGGGAGCCCTCTAAAGGCCCAGTCTTACCACCTTTATGAGACAAACACCACAGGAAAAAACCCTGGGCTGGCTTTGCTGGTCTTACGCTGTGTCCACAAACCCCACCAGGGCACAGGCTCTGCTCCATCTTCCCAGGACAAGCCCTGAATGCTTCTGTGTGCTCAGCAGGTTTCCTCCAGCACTCCCAGGAGACCTGACTTACTGACTGCTTTCTGTTCCCAAACTGAAAACACAATGGGGACTACCACAGCGAAGAGTTCATGTTCCTCCCTCACAGCAACACAAAGCTTTAAGGCTGACAGGGCCTCAGGACTTGCAAAGTTCTCTTTTGATTCCACATCATCCTTATTAAAACCAGAAGCTTATAATGCAAAGCACAGTAATATCTTGTTTCCTTCAAGAAAAGCTTTTATAGCGACTGAAATATTGAACTGGATTGTGAAACCCAGAGCATTCCCACTACGTGGCAAGGGCACACTTAATACAAGGGCCTGGAGGGCTGTTCAGGGCCATTTAGACTTGTTCTGCAAAAAAAATAGCCAGGTCTTGCTAATATGAAAAGATCAGATTAAGCAACAAATAGATGATATCGCTTCCCAAATGTCACAGAGCCTCAGTGAAGCAAGGCAGCTTGTCAGCAGTGAAGCTGCTGAAGCCCATGCCCTCTCATGGCCACCACATGAATCCCAGATATTCCTTCTGCTGCACATCCCCTGCGGTCTTGCTTGCTTTCTGCCCTGTCCTCCATGCCTGGGGAACTAAGGAAAAGGCAGAATTCAGAAAGAAAAGTCAAGGCAATCCCTGCAAGTTCAGTACTCTCTCTTGCAGATGGAAAAGTAAAGCACATCTATGTGATAGCTATTAGGGTTTCTGTTCTGCACTGAGAGCTGTCTCACTGCCCACTCTGGGAGCTGCTGCACGCAGTCTGGGCTTTGTGGAAGTGTGTTCAGTCCCCCAAAGCACTCCCAGGATTACGTTTGTAAGAGACAGGCAAAACAGAGGCGATCTCAAATACCTTCTCTTAAACAGGAAAATATTTGGGCATTTTCTGATAAAAAGCAAACGGTGAGAATTCGATTGCTGTGCCAGGGAACAGCTGACCCCGAAGGAACACCCTTTTTCCTACACTCTAAGAAAGGCACAGAACACCAGGCTGTTTGCCCAGACTCAGCCCCAGTGATGACACCGCAGGCTGGAAGCAGCTAAATGTCTGAACATGAAAGTCAGGGATTGCCTGCAGGAAAGTGCAGACAGAAATGCACCGGATTCAAACCCCTCAGGTGAGGTCGAGCCTTCTGGGAACTCTCCCTCCCCCTCCCTATAATATATTGCCCCACGGCAGGCTCCAGAGGTTCCTCTCTGCTGGCACTTGCACAAGCAACAGGGGAAGGCTGACAGGATGTTCTCAGAGAGAGAACAGTGCTCCACTGTCTTTCAGTTTATTCTGCCAATTCATCAAAGTCTGGGCTTCGAGGCCAAGAAGAAAAATCTCTCATTTCTTCCTGTTGCTGTTGAGGCTGGGGCAGGATAGCCTATTTGCTTTGCTATTCATGTTTATGTAGCAGGTGTCCAGAGCAAGAACAAAACCCCAGAGATACTTCCACTATTTTATTTCAGATTCCCTAAAATGTTTATGCATATATATAACATTTAATTAAAAAGCCATATATTCCATAGAATCAGAATCATTCAGGTTAAAAAAGACCTTCAAGATCATCAAGTCCAACAGCTCAAAAACAAATACAGCTTTGAATCTTCCCCCTCTCTTTCTGTGTATATGCTTTGCTACTGAATACCTTTCCTGAGCTGCTGGTTCAGGTTGCCTACAGATTCAGAAAGGCTGGTTCATTTGTGATTATTGCATTCGAGATCTTCCAGACAAGAAAGAGCACAGAGAGATCCTAGCTGTTGCCCTGGAACACGACCCAGCCACCTGGGCCTGCTCCCAAGGCGCGCAGCACACATCAGTGAGGTAACAGGAGCTTACCTGCAATGACTCTTTCCACAGCATACTCAAAGTTGGAAGTATCAATGGATTTGTGGCCTTCTCTGGCAGCGTGGAGAGCAGCCTCATTGCATATATTTGCTATGTCTGCTCCTGTTGGCAAGAGTGCGTAAGAATTACACCGGGTCTGGTGTATGACAGACAGATAAGGCAGAACAGATCTGGAGGAGGGCCTAAGGAAGTCACACAGCCTGCACTGCAAGCTCCTCTTTGTTCCTTGGGAACAGAGAGTGAATCTCAGCCATGGTGTTTACGTTGGATTTGAACAATACCACTGCCTTGGCAATGAGCACGGTGTTGCCATACAGAGGACAGAGTTCAGCAATCAATTAAGAGGCTAAAGCCAAGGCTGGCTCTAACAACAGGGGAGTGCTGTGGGCAGTCTGGATTGGCATGGATTGCTGCACTGTTCATGCAGCAACCACACAAACCTCTGTGCAGAAGAGAAAGAACATCTGTTCTGAGTTTGTGTGTGTGGGTGATGGTGGTGGGGGGCTGCTGAAAGAAGTCACGAAGAGGCAGTGTGCTGGGGCCTGTTAGAGGGGAAACCCAGAAAGGATATTCCAGGAACTCCACATAAACAGGAACTCTGGAGCCCCTTGCTCAGCAATGTTTAAAACTCCCAGGGACTGACCCTGGAAGCAGGCTCAAGAGTCGTCCAATTTCTACTCCAACAGATGAAGGAACTGCTGTTCCTTTCTCCTATCTGCTTTCCTGGTAATGCCTACCAGCACAGGTGTTTTTCCACATCTCAGTGTGAAGTACAACACTTTATCTTCAACAACAGCTTGGAGAAGAGCATTAACAGGAATTAGGATCCCAGGCACTTGTAATAGCCTGTTTTTCCTCAGCCTCCTGCACCTTGCTATTCCCAGAAATTGCAGGACACTGAAAATAGCCAGAAACAATTGCTCATTGCAGCTCCTTTCACGAGGGAGCTGATTAGGCTCTCCCTGTTTAAGTAGAGAGGAGGATTTTAAGGGAAAGAAGGAAAAAAAAAAAAAAAAAAAAAAAAGAAAGCCCTTGAGACCAAAATATCCTCTTAAACCTAAGCTACTGAGGAGCTTCACGTAGCTGAATTTGCAAGGCAGAGGCAGAACAGTCCCTCAAGGATACAAGGTGTCATACCACTGAAGCCTGGAGTCAGCTCAGCAAGGTGCTGCGAGTAGAAGCTGGCATCTTGGATCAGCTTGAGACCCTTCAGGTGCTGCTCAAAGATCTCTCTTCTCTCCTGCGAAGAGCACAGAGCACTTACACAACAGTGAACGTTTGAGCCCAGCAAGCTTCCTAACATGGCAGCTTCACTGCTCCCTAAGGCAGGGAGCAGAGGAAAAGCCAGACCTCTGGCAGCACGGACGGTGACACTGCCAGCAGAGGGCAGGGCTGTCCTTACAGCACTTCAGTCCTACAGGAGCCCTGATAAACACCCAGCTCTCAAATTCAGAACAGATGTATGGAGGCTTACCGTGAGTCACTGCTTTCTCTCTCAGGGCCGCTCTCCCCTTCTAACTTTCACTCTGATCTGTCTTTTAACTTTGCTCTTACCATATAAGCACTTGCAGGAAGGAGCTCAGGATGCAGCTACCTGCTCCCTCCTGCACTGCAAGAAAGAAGAATCCCATCTACGAGCTGCTCAGCCTTCGACCACTTCCCAGACAGAGGTGGGGGTGAGCTGACGGCTGGCCAGCGGCCAAGCAATGACTCATTCAGCTGGCCCAGGAGATCCTGATTAAAACAATGGGCTCAGTTGCCAGGGTTTTTCCCTTTCCTCCTTCAGGGCAGCTGCAGAGTTCATGCTTCCGGTGCCAGATTGTATCAGGCATTTGAGGTATTTTAACTGAAAACTCTGAGGATGACAGTAAAGCACAGATGGGAGAAGAAGAGACTGTGCTGGCAGAGCAGGCAGACCTTCACTGCAGCTGAGCCTATTTGCAAAGCTCCACTACAAACGTCAACACAGCGGACATGACAGACTCCCCTAATAAATGGATCTACAAAAGCATTCAGAAGGAAAGTCACTTAGGCTGCCTGGAAGAAAATGAGGAGCTTGATGAGGAGAGTGAGGATGATAAACCTACAAGACAAATGGTGCTCAAGGCACACGACAGGTTGAGTTTTCCCCACACAAGCCAGCTTTGCCAATTAGGTGGCTCCTGATTTCCTGGAGAGAAGACAACAAATTCTGCATCTGCATGGCAGAGAACCTCACAGAAGAACTTGCTGCTGAGGTTCATATGCCATCTCCATCTGCCCCAAACTCAGTGGTTGCCAGGCCAATGAACAATCGGCAAGGGAAGGACTGGGACACTTCAGCCATGAACACTGTAGAAAGGACAGGACAGATGATGGGATATACCTGGAGTGTTGGAAGATCAATGAAGATGTGTCTGTCAAGCCTGCCAGGTCTCATCAAGGCATTATCCAAAACATCAGCACGGTTGGTGGAAGCCAGCACTATGACGTGATCTGTGGTCCCCATTCCTGTAGCAAGACAAGTAAAAACACAAGTGAAGGTTTTCACCATCACAGAGACTTCCTTGCGAGCACAGCAAGGGGTGAGGCAGGGCAGGATGCAGAGAACCTCTCACACAGCTTTATCACCAAGGCAGAACGCATGTACAACATCCTTTGGGGCAGCTGAGGCTGAGAAAGCGTCCTCTTCAGCTAGGAGCAGGAAGGAACCTCTCGGGTCACCCCAGCCACTCCTGGGCACTGTGGGCATACTGAAATTCCCTTTAAGCCCCAACTTTGTTTTGTTGGGTTTTCTTTTGCTGTATTTCGAAATTGCTCCAACCGGAAACCGGAACAGAATCTGTTCTTATGAGTTCGGACACGCCTGCTCACCCCCAGCCGTAAGCCAATTCCTGCTCCTTTAGTTCCAGCTGTACAATATTTGTTAGCTGAAATAGCATTTTCCTCCCCAGCACTGCTGTGGAAAACCCTTTCAGTTTTCATTCACTTTTAGCCTTCAATCACAGACAGGCTACCAGCATCACCAGGGAAGGAACAGGTTTTCTTCTGACCGAATGGGATTAACACAAGAACACAGGACGTAGCCTCGCCACTCAATCACAGCATGATTTGATCTGCATCTTTTATCACTCAAGAGGCATCCAGGCACACTGAGGACCAGAGCAGTGCAAAGACCAACCCTGCAAAACGTACACCACAGATATCATGTAGGCAGGGACAGAATGTGACCAAACAGCTTTGCAGTGATGATCAGCACAAACTAGCTCAAGCCACAGTCACACGGTTTTGTCTCCAGGTCTTAAAGATGAAGGGAGCATCAGGAATTACAGGCTCTGTGAGAGCAGCCAGCAGTACAGAGGCACCAAAGGCAGACAGGCTTTCCTGGGAAGGCAGAGCACAAACAGCTGGAGGAGGGCAGGAAGGGGCAAGCGGTTGTGTTGCTTGGGTGGGGAGCCAGGGATGATGTTGAATCACTGAACCACACTGCTTATTTATTACATTCCACCAGGTGCCCGGAGGCCTCTGGCTATGAGTCACCTGCTTCCAGCAGATTCAGCAGCCCCAGCACTCACAGCCTTCCCAGGGAAAGGACGCCTTAGTCCCGTGTGCTCCCTGGCTGCCAAGTCACACACTGCAGAAAGCAGCTCCATGCACGTAAGCTGGGTGGGTTTCAGCTCTCTCCAGCTTGGCCGGAAGAGCTGCCAAATGTGTCAGCGTACAAGAGCTCAGCAGAGAGATTAAGGTTACAGGTAAGTCAGAGGACTGGCTTTGTCAGCTCGCACTGCAGCAAACCTCTGTTCTTCCTCCCTGCAGGATGCTGTCTAAATAAGCTCCTGCAGAGGATGAAGCTGACCGTTCTTCAGGTGTGTATTATACTGTGCTTTGGAGTGTGATAAACAAGGAGAGAGACTGGCAGGCACCTGGGGGGTAGCAAGCTTCATTCACACGGCAGGATTAGATGGTACAGTACATTATCAGCTTTGCAGCTGGGAAAGCTCGACCTTAAAATAGGTCTGACTATTAGAACAAGCATAATCAAAACAGAACCACGGAGTGCATCCTCCTCGCTGCAGCTTCTGCCCCACTTGCTCTCGAGCCTGCTTCCCAGCAGCACCCAACAGCTCCAAGAAATCCACAGCAGCAGCCTGAGTCACATCACGCTTCCCAGCACCATGTCACCTGGCACGTGACGGGCGCTGGCTTCCACAGACAACAAGCAGTCATGAGAACAGGCTACAAAAACACCACCCCAGCCACGTCAACAAATTAAAAACAGCTCTGAAAATCTGGCCCCAAGAGAGCCTTCACATCTATGTTCACAACTTCAGGCACTTCTAAAAGGAACTGGGGAGGGTCCAGTTGAATTGCTGAGTGCCCTCCTGCCCACTGACACAGTGCATTTGATAGGCAGCTCCTCTGCATTGTTGGCCATTCATTCAAAAGCATTTCGGGCATCGTTTGTGTACAATATCATTGAAAAAGGGGCCACCATTGTGAGGGAAGCCACAGGGTCACAAACCTGCACCCAGCACAGACAAGGGGAGAGGTCTGAGGACTTCACAGGACTGGCTCGCATCTTTATTCACAAAAGAGCAGATCAGCCCAGGACTGACAAGCTCCCAGCAAACGCATTCAGAGCAGGGGAGGTATTTGGGTCACATTCCTCTTCCGCTTGTTTGCGATTTGTGAGGGAAGATTCACTATTCAGCACAGGCACCTGTTCTGACAAAGGCTGGAGTACGAGTCGCTCTGGTTTTTAAAGTCAGCTTTTGTACAGCTCAGCCCAGTCCCTCCCCTTCTCCCACCGAACTCTGATGCCTCCAGAACACGAAGCAAGCTGTCAGGAGGAGGCGAACCGAGGTCGCTTATAGAAAGAGCACAATTACTCTAAAATCTGCATACCAGAATTACAGAGCATCCAACTCCACATCTCACCCTTACAGCTTCCTACAGTGACTTTTCGCCTGCTGCCCTCACCGTCCCTCCAGCCTGCAGCAGGGGCTCCCCTTGGCTCTGACCCTCCTTTTCTTCCTGTACCTCAGCTCCAAGTCATCTCATTCGCACACACAAACCCCACAATCACTGCTAAGCTGATGATTCACAGATCTACTTCTGCACTTGATTTTTCTCGAATTATCAGCTCAGCTCAGCTCTGCGGTGTTACCTCGCACAAGTTCAACCTTTAAATTAAGCTCAAGACGGCGACAAGAGAACTGTGACCTCCCATTTCAGGGCTCTCATCACACACAAGCCCTCCACTTCTGCCTGGGTAAACTCTCCATCTCCTTAAAATTCACTTTCCTCCCGAAAGCTTTGTTTTGTAATGATGGACATAGAGGCAACAAGAGGCACCTCCCCGAGGTAACATGCACGATTAGACAGCAGTTCAATAACACAAGCCAAGATCACTGCTTATGCATGCAAGCCAACAGTAAGCCCACGATGCTTGCACTACCCTGACAGCCTTTGCCAGCTGCCTCTCATCTGGCACTGTAAACTCCTTAGGCTATTTTTTTTAATGTTTGATAAAGCATTCAGCAAGTGAGGGACTCAGTACACGACCTGTATGATACAAATTGATAATCATGAAGCAATACCCATTTTAGAATCAGCTAGGCAGCACACTGTACAGAAGCTGTTTTTTCCTCAAGGACTCTTAAAGCATTAAAGGATAATACTTACTTTCTAACCTCACTTTTCAATGACTTGTGCCCTGATTTTTTAATTGAAACTCGCCACAAAGCAACATTCTAGGAACAGCTCCTGATTTCTGCAGATCACAGGAAGTCAGGCACTTCCATTTCTAACACTGAGATGTGTACTGACCACGCTTTCCTGAACACACAGATGGGCCTCCATCTGATTCAGTGGTAACCTGTTGCCACTTCACCCTGCAACTGTCAAGAGGGAAAAAAAACCAAAAGCAAGCTGGGATTGCTGTTCTGTGTGTTACTACAGGCCTTGCCATTGAGACAATGCTATACAGACACAGCTGTAAGCAGTTACACTCACTCCAAATATGTTCATATGGTTGGCTACAGTGCCCAAGTTAGAGCATGTGCAAAGTCCCAGGAAGCTGCACTCGTGTTTATACCACATCAGGTCCTACACAGCATCACACGCTACACAGATGCTCCTCTGATAACCAGATCTGTGCCTGGTTATGTAGGACCTGCTTACAGATCGCAGCGCTCCTTCCAGAAGCTCCCTGGCACCTGGGCTGAGGCAGAGCCCTGCAGGATCTCAGTACAGCAGCACCTCTATCCTGTTTGCTCAGCGCTGTGCTCCTGCTTACAATTTCTTCTCCTTCTGCAGCGCAGGCAGAGATCCAACATTACAGATCATCCTCAGTACAGAGGAACATTGATGCTTTCCTGAAAGCACTTTACAGATCCTAGCTTCCTCCCTGAGAGTGGAAGGTTCACTCCATAGCAACCTTGCTGCAGAACCACAGGATGTGCTCTGCTTCAGCAGGGCTGCACCCACTGCTTCGCTGTAAAAACTCAGTAAAAAAATACATACATGTCTGGAGAAAGAGGGATGGTTTCAGTGCAGAACTTCTCTTGTGAAGAGACTGATGAGGTAAGTGCCACATTTACGGTCAGCCAAGGGAAAACAGGCCTGTCCCACAAAGCAGCAGACAGATACAAACACATGCTGATCTGCAATTGTAGGATTTAGCCACAGAAGCAATGAGACTTAGGGCTGCAGGCTCTGACAGAGTTATGACTAAGAACAGACAAAGAATTGTTCTTTTAGACATTTGTGTCCGAGAAAAGGGTTGATTCCATATGCAATACATTCAGAAAGCACCCAGAAGAGCAGCACCTAACCAGGAGTTGTGTGCAAAGCTTCTCCCTCCCACCTTAGATAGGCATCCTGCAGCCAAGCAACATGAGAACAGGCCAAAGAAAGGAGAATGGATGCATTTCATTGCATGCACCCCTCTGGAACAACTAGACTTCAGCCCTTGTCAGGCTTTAAAACACTACCTGTCAGACAGAGTAAGCAGGGATTTGACAGCTTTTAACGGCCAGCTGGAACTAAACATTACCAGCTGAAGACACTACTGCCCTTGCTGCCAATTCTTTCTCTTCCTGTTGCTCAGTACTGCAAACAACTCCTCTCCACCTGACAGTGGGAAAACACCCCTGAACTGAAGCCATTCACTGCAGTATGAATCCTTGGGGTTGCTGCCCTCTGCCAGCCTTGATATCTAGTGCCTGTTTTCCATCAGTTTTATTAGCAGGTGGACACTCGTGTGGTTACTGGGGCGAATTCACTCTGAATGTGACAGTACATTCTCTTCTGACTCTGTAGGAGTACAGTCACAAAAATAGCTCATTCAAGGTTCCAGGGTTTTGAAGTTTGCTAGTTGTAAATTCGCCTGGCCTTCAGGGCCACAGCCCTTCCCAAAAGGGGTCCCAAACACAGTTCTCACTTGTCACCCAGAGGGTCTTTGAACACAGACATGAGCAAGCTGTAGTGCCGAGCTTACGGACTGAATGTGCTGTGAAGTACAAGCAAGCCTTGCTCCAGGGCATGCAACGCTGAATACTTTGAGAACACTAAGGAGGCATGGCAAATTCAAACACAACAACGTGCCCGGATCTTCAAGGTAACAAAGGCTCAAATGCCAAGGAAGAAATACTGACCATCCATTTCCACCAGCAGCTGATTTAAGGTCTGCTCCTCCTCAGCATTGGCGAAACCAGACACATTAGTTGAGCGCTTCTTGCCCACAGCATCAATTTCATCGATGTACACAATGCAGGGTGCACGAGCCTGCGCTTCTCTGAACAGGCTGCGGACTCGTGCAGCTCCCAGACCTACACAAAAAGAGAAGAAATCAGCTCCAAACCAGCTAAAACTGTTAGCTGTAGAGCAGGAATCACAGATCCCAAAAGGCACCCAATCCTGACCAAACCCTCACTGTGTGACCCCTTCAACGTGCCAGACACAAAGAACCAGCCCCAGAACTCCTATCTTAGCTCTTCAGATCCTGCTCAACGTGGAGTAGAGGCAAGTCAGGGTTTCAAGTGGAGACCTGTGGTTTCCCTCTGTGAGAAGGAAGCAACTAGCAAGTCAGAGAAAACGTGTTTCAGGACTACATAATTAACTATCTGCTATCACTGAAAACCTGTATGTTTTCAGCAGAAATACCCAACTCATCCTCCTCACGCAAAGAATGGAGGAAACTCTCCTTTTTGAGGGATCCAGACAGCATTCTCCAAGCAACCTCCACCCCCTCCCTCCTGCAAAGCTTACCTCCTATCACCTCCACAAATTCGGAGCCTGCCATGGCCAAGAAAGGCACCTGTGCTTCTGTGGCCACTGCCTTGGCCAACAACGTCTTCCCGCAGCCTGGTGGTCCAAGCAACAAGGCACCCTTGGGCACTTTGGCACCGAGCTGCAGGTAGCGATCAGGATTCTGTAGGAACAACACAGCTGTGTCAGATCCTCAGCTCACATCACACATCTGCTCAAGAACGTGGTTTTCCAGTACTTCTTGACATTGTTTTCATCCTGACCGACCCTGAGCTCGTAATAGGAGCAGCCACATCTGCAGCCTGTTACAGAACTGGAAGTAGAGATTGAGTCACGTTGATCACAGCAGAAAAAGCTTCCAGCTTTTTTTAAACAAAGGCTGCTCGGTATCACGCGTGATAAAGAGAATAAATATTCTCTCCTCCCCAGGTTAACCTTCTATCCCAGAAAACAGGCAGTGCTTGCTTTGTTATACCTTCAAGTAGTCCACAAATTCTTTGACTTCCATTTTTGCCTCGTGCATTCCTGCTACATCCTTGAAGCCAATCCCTTTCCCGGATTTTCCATCCACAATGGTGAAACGAGCCATTTTCAGCTGATTCTGTGGAAAGCAGCACAAGAATTGAAGATGCTCACTGGACAGCCTGCTTGCTATACTGCAAGCGACAGCACAGGTACAGCTGCCCCTAACAAAGACCATTACAACGCCCACCAATGCACTGCTGGTAGTTAGTTCTGCTCTGGAAACACTTCAGGCCAGACTGCAGACTGCTGACTTGAGCTTTACTGATCAATATTTGATGAGAAGAAAAGTAAACCTGCAGTAGTACTTCCAACACAACCCAGCTCAACTTCCCACAGACCGAGTAGAGAAACTTAATAGAAACACGCAGAATGCCCCAAACCTGAATTAATATCCTCTCCCCCAGACTCTTAAATGCTCTGGTCCTTAACACATCCAGCACAGGTACAGTTTTAAGGAGTATGCATCAGAAGTAAATAAATACCAACACTGCCCTGCAAACGTGTGCAAACAGGCATTTTGCACCAGTGTCCAATCAGTTCCTCCTGCAACACCAGGGACAGAACTGCAGGCTCTCCAATTGAACAGGCAGCACATCTCAGCCTCCTGGTGCGTGTTAAGCCACAGCGACAGCCAAAACAAGAGTTCAGTTCAACACTCTGCTAGTAACTGCTCATTATGACCTGCTGAAAACAGTTACTCAGGATTTTTTGTTTGCTTTGAGAAGAAGGTTTACAGCTTCTCATGCCTTAGAAACATGTTTTTCCAAATGAAGAGTTAAACATGCAGGGCCTTGCTGCCCCACTTACCCAAGGGCAGAAATGAATCCTCAAGGCCCTCATTACTCAGCATTTCTTTAAACTATTCTCTTCCAAGCAGTTGTACCCCTTTGTACAAAGAGAATCTCAAAGCCAGAAGAGAACTTCAGAGGATACCGAGTGGGAAATCCAGCAAGGGACTGAATACACCACTATTTTCAGCCCCAAGCCCCTGCGGTCGATAGCAGCACACCCAGAGCTGATTTCTACACAGTTTCATCAGCTGATCCGGGCAAGGGAGGAGGGTAGGAGGAGATTTAACTGATGTTGCAAGTGAGCCATGTGGCGTGAGGGGAACAGGCCAACACATAATGAAATCCAGAATCTGAACATACTTTATAAATTGAGAATTCATTTTGCAAAAAGCAGCAATCCCTACTCCTGGCTGTATGGGAGGCATATTGGCAGGACCCAGTGAAAAACACCATCTGCAGCTGCAACTCATTAACGAGCTTTGAAAATAGCAGAGCAAACTGGACTGCAAATTCACTGAGCTCAGCCCTTCCTGCCACTGGGGAAAGAAAGGGCCTCCACTAAGGCCAGTTACTGTACGATCTGGTCAGACGATCAGGACAGGAAAAGACACGACATGTATCAAGACTGAAGCGTCCCTGGCATCAGTTAACTCTCAATCTGTGTTGACTTTGCTGGGGAAAAGGGAGGAGGTCAGGCCAGGGGACAACAATACTCACAGGATGCAAAGCAGCAGAAAGAGCCAGGATACTCACAAAAGCATTGAATCCTCCTGCCCGGCCCGCAACCCTTATGAGGCGGAAGAGGCTCCACAGCATGGACACAGCCACAAGTGTCACTACCAGGGAAATGACATCACTGAAAGGACAAAGGCGAGACAGGTACAAACTGCAGCATGCAGCCACAGCTCAGTAAATATGACACAGTGTTCCTGTTTGTAGTGTTTTACAAGGTCCTGACACTTAGGCTAGAAACGCAACCATGAGCATCCATTTATACAGGTGTAACAAAGCCCCAACCATTGCACAGCCTCTGAAGTTTCACAGAAGGCACTGACCCACACTGCTATGGCTGCAGAAGCAATTCCCATTGACCCCTTGCTTCAGAGGCATTTTGCTTATCAAACAGGCAGGCCCTTCAGGAGCCAGATCACATCCTGAGCAGGGCTGGGGGTGCTGGCAGTCCCACCCCGCGTCCAGAAACATCAGGCTGCTTCTAACTGCCCACTCCTGGCACAAAATCCCAGTGCAAGCCTCCAGGATGGAGCTGCTATGCAGCCTGCTCAGCCCAGTCTCTCACAAGTCCTTCTGACAGAAGGACCAGCAACCAACATAACGAATTTTCTGCATCCTTTGCAGTAACTACTGCATTAGAAGGGAGAGGCAGAGCCAAGCTGACAGTGCAAGACTAATGCGCTTATGAGACAAACATGCTGAGGACAGAACTTCCTGAGCTCTACACTCAGGATACTTTTAATAAGAGGAAAAATTATCTGACATGTCAGATACCGGGCTGGGACTTGAGAAGCCCTACCTCAGCCCCCTGCTCTGCTGCACGAGCCCTGCTTGACCCCATGAAATGATCTGCCCTCGCCTCACTTCTGTTCCTTATCTTTGAACCAGGAATATGTGTGCCATGCCTCTGAAATAAATGATTTACTGAAACAAGGGGACCAGCACATGCTATATTATCCCCAGCTGCATTTGTTTCTTCTCAGTGAGAGCTCCTAGGCAACGCTGAAAGCTGAAAGTCACCTCCAATTTGTCAACTGTGCAAGCAGAGGATTAATTCTGAAATGCATCAAGTGCCCAGCTCTGAAAGTAAACTGAATGCAAGCCATAAGTACACAGTGCCTCGCAGGTTAAACTCCTGACTCTGACGTGTCCTCAGAGAGGATTCAGACCCCGCTGCGTGTTCTAAAGAACTCTTTTCAGGAGCAAGGGAAGCAGCTGGTGGTGCTGGCTGACTTCAACAGTCCAATTTACTCTTCTTAAAAGTCTGACAAAAATTGGCAAGCCCTCAATATGAACTGAAGACTTCATCCTGCACGAGCAATTTGAGAAGTTTACCTATCTCCATGTAAGTAATGTGTTAAAATTGCAAAGATGTTGCTCAGAGGACAAGCAATTAGACAAACTGCTCTCCAGGTATCTTCCTCATAGACAAACATGGCATTTATTTCACATTTTGGTGAGGCACCTGCAAGGAAAGGCCGCCTCCCCACCACCAGGGGAATGATGCCACACTGCAAACCCCTGGGGCTTCTGTAAGCATAAGATGCAGATCTTTGCATGGGGTGCAAGAAGGTGACCAGACCACCTTGGCAGACAATTGCAGCAGTATGAAACTATCTTTCTTGGTGGTTAGGATATAGGATTGCTCTACTTGGCAAGCAGAACTACCGTGCTGCATCTCCAGTACTTCAGACTCAGCAATGAGTTGAGAGCTCTCCAAACACCAGCCTCATACGCTGATGGAAAGCATCTTTCTGCAGCAGTAGCAGCCATCAGTGCTGGAGGTGGGTCTGTCCAACAGCCCAGTGAGCAAGCCCCACAGATCAGTCCTGTGCCCTGGACTCCATAAATCCTACCTTGTAAAAACAAGCTGCCAGCCCTAACAGGAGGATAAATAAACCACATCAGCAGCAAACAGCCACACTTGTACATCACAGGGAAGAACAGGATGAAGCCTGGCTGGAGCACGGCAGTCTTTTGACAGACTTTCTCTCTTGCTCTTTGCTGTTTATTTGAGCACTGACTTCTTAATTACTATTGTTTTTAAAAGCAGAAGATCTTGGGTTCAGGTAACAGAAAGTTTAACAGAAGTACTTCTCTCTCACTGAGATTTTGCGTCTTAGCAGCAGAGCTGCTCTGCTCAGTATGCTGCTCACAGCAGGAGCCAGCACCAGCACAGGCTGTCCTCTGAGCCACGGCCATTTGGGGAACAGGCCCAAACTGGGTGTTTGTTTTTGCAGACTGAACCACCGCTGCAGGCCGTCCTCAAGGCGTTTAAATGGGGGAAGGCTGACTGCACCACCACCATTCAGCAGGGTCTGACAGCACACTGGTTGAGTCAGGATTCCTATCTCACAGGACCCATTACTGCACTCCAATAACGGATTATAAAGACAAAAAGGTGCCCTGCTATGCAAGAATACAAAGCAGCTGACAGGCTTTCCTCAGAGCTGCTGACGCTGAGCTGAAACATTTTGGTCTGTTACATGCTGTGGTTCCACACACCTCCTTGGGACTCTCAGTTCTGAAACGTTACAGCACAACTAGGGCACTTCTGAAAGACCTGCTCCAAACAGGGACCACTTCTTTTGCTTTCTATTTACATAACGTTCAGTTGGAAGGAACTTTGCAAGTGAGGGATGTTGTTGCCAACATAAAATAAACAGTAAGCATGATATCAGCTCGTACTTTCCATAAAAGCCGGGGTGTTTGTAGGAAACAGGGATTCTCTCTCTCTCATCAATATTCAGCTCGTCCTCCGCAGCTCTCAGCTTCTCTTCAAACTTGTCAATGTTTGCCACTCGCATGGTGTACAGCAGGGTAACGTTCTGGAGACATGCAAGGAGAAGCAGCATGAGGACAGCGTGAGCGTGCTATAAGGACAACCACCAGCAGAAGGGGTGCACAGCATGGCCGAGCCAGACAGTCAGCATCGTTACGTCCTTCGTTGGCCACACCAATGAAATAATGGGCAGATAACAAACAGAGGGACTCCAAGGGAAGTCGGGGACAAGGCCAGTCTCTGCAGCCCCTTAGACCTCGCCTTCTGTGCTTTCCTGAGTCTCAGCTCTGTAGGAACAAGGGGACATCGTGTCTTCGTGGGCAAGCTGCAGGATGGAGTTAGCATTCCAAACCCAATTACAGGGCTATCTTTGGGCCCAGCCAAAAATTCGTAATACATCTGGAAAACTACATCATTGAGAAGGAGGCATTTTGGATGTTGTTCCTTCCTATGTCTCGCTCAGAAATTAATTTCATCCAGCAGCTTGCAAACGGATCATAAAAATCACTGAGCTAAGCGAGGTGAACCAAGGAACAATATTTGAATCTCTGAAGTTAGTTTGTATTGATTCTTGGCGGCTGCCCTGCAAAGTTACACAAGATGTGAATAAGCTTTGCTCTTTTCCACCACTTTAGCAGATTTAAGAAGGAAGTCTGCACTTCCTTCTTGATTTGACAGAGCACCCGAACCTAAAATCCAAACAGGAGAAAAAAAAATTAAACTAGATCTAGGAACAAGACCTTGACTCCTTTCGATGAAGCAGGCAGAGCTGGTGAGAAAGAACTGGGGAATTTCTCCAGCTTTTTAAACATCCATAACATTTCCTTCAGGTCACTGTCAATTACTCTTACAGTTTAAATTCCAGGTTGGTAGGAGTAACAGAACCCCCTGAGCTTCACGCAAAAGAAAGAGGAAAAGTGAGGAAAGAGCCAATTTACCTGCTAGAGTTTTATAACCATTTACTAACTCAGTTCTTTTTCTCTCAGATCACCTCAGATCTAAGACAATCCGCGACCATCCATTGCAATGGCAGAAAGTCACTCACCACTTGTCCACGCGGAGTGCCTCCCGGGTGCAGGTAGATCTCCACAATATCGCTCTCTGGAACCACTTCGATCCTCTGGACCTCCCCCTTTGACAGCATCTCACTGATGAAGTAATTCCAGGAGATGCTGGTCCCTTCTCTGTTCTCGCTGACCGTGAATCGAAACAGCAGCACTATTAAAGTAATGATGAGCAGAGCCCGCAGGCGTTCAAGGTGCATCTGATTTTCCCTTCTCCTGCGCTTCTCTTCCTCTTCAGGGAAAAAAAAATAAAATTAAATCAAAGAAAAATTTCCACACGTCAGCGCAGAGCTTTCCGTGCAGCAGAGGGGCAGTGCTGTACAGAGATGAGTGCAGCAGTACCCTGGAAGCACCGTGCCCAGAGGCAGCACCTGACTTGCACCACACACAGGCCATTTTTCAGCTCAGTTGTGTGATTTGCTCAAGGTCACACAGTGAGCCAGGTTTTTGGCTTACATTACACTTGCAGCCCTTTCTGCCTTCCCAGGGCCAAGGCTGTACGCACGGGCAGCAGCGGGGCAGAAGCCTGGCTATAAGAGCACACTCAGTTATAAACCTAGCAGCCACCTGCAAAGAGGCAAATTTTGCACCCCACTGGCCAGCAATAACCTGGGTGCACCACACTGCTGCTTTCCAACCCAGTCTGTTTTACCACAGCTACATGCAGCTGTGCCCCGTGCCCCCAAAGCCACGCAGTGAGGCACTGCCTACACAGACTGCAGACAATGGAGAATTGCCTCTTAAGTGCAGCCTTGGGAAGAGGAGGAACCAAAACCAAACACCAGCGAGGCAAAAAAGCCCACTGCTTTCAAATTTCAGCACGTCTGAAGACTCAGCAATCTTGCAGCTCCCTGTTTTTAGGCAGCCCAACCCTGCTGCAGGGCACTTTGGATGGTCACAGTCCTCCATACCTGTCACAACCCCACCACTGCCATTCTGCCCTGAAATGAAGGACTACCTCACTTCCCCAGCCTATTACAGACGTGGACCAAATAAAGCCATCAGACCTTTCTTGTTACAAATTATGACTACAGCTCAGTTCTGAGTACCACCCTTCTGCTCTGCCTAGCCCTGTTTGCTGTTCTTAGTCCTGTTCCATAGCTACTAGAAAAATATTAGGGCAGAATAAAACCAGCCTTAGCAGCACTGCTCAATGATGCAGCACAGCACTGCAAGGTATAACTGCTTCCAGCTGCACTCCTGATCTGCTGGCACCCTGCATCACAAGACCAACAACAGTTTTACTACTTAAGAAAATATCCGCATTTGCAGTAAATCTGAACCAGCACAGGAGAAGCAACGTGCAATTTATCCAGGGGCTGAAACAGGCTACAAATCAATCTCATTACCTTAACAGAACAGCACATTCTCCCCCTCGCTGTATGACTGCACTCTTACACAGGCCTGGTAACTCTCCACACTGCGGGTCTGTATCACTTTAACATTAGATTGGTATTTAAACGTGAGATGCGTTCCTGCGCCTCTCCTGCACAACTGACCTGATGACACGAGAGGAAGGGATGGTTTACACCCAGGGTTTGCCCCCACAGCCTTTTTCAGCTCCCAGCACTTTGGTGGTGCACACGAAAAGGCACAATTCCTGGCAGTGCTGCTCAATGCCAGCAGCCAGCTAGTGCTTCCCACGTTAAGATGACGACCGATCTCTCTTCCTACAGATAGGTGAAGCTCTCAATAGATATCATTTACTGCTCATTCTTGATTCGCAGTTTAAAGCCGACAGCAACACAGCATACAAAGCACCGTTCTGCTCCCAGAAATAAATTAATTCTGTGCCACTGGTCTGCAGGCACATCTGCCTGCTGCAGCTCAGATGGGATTTATTTGCCAGCTCCTAACAAACGCTGCGACACCGGCATTTATCACTGAGCACCAATCAGAGCCCACACAGGGCACGACAAAACCAAGGGACAAACATATGACCCAGGCAGCCGCTAAAAAAAGCACTGTGCCCTTCAGATGCACAGCATCATTTTTCAGCCCTGCTCCACGTCCAACAGGAAAGCTTCGCTCCTAAATAGAAACAGTGCTGCTTTTCAGATAAGGTTGTGATTCCAAAACACAAGCTCAGACACCGCGTCCAGCCCATCCGCCCCCTTCTTTAATGCCTTCTGCTCACCTGTGCGTTATCTGCTAGATCCAGCTTTGTGAGAACACTGCAATTAATAAGAAAACCCTGCAGGTTGACACCCAGCACAGTTTGATGAAAGAAAATTAAAATACAGCATGGTAGAGGCCTCAGTGTGGGCACTGTCCTCAACTACTGGGCAAGTTGTAAATAAAAGGGTTTTAAAAGAAAACTGCAGAGAAATAAGTGCAGACATGAAGAAAGTCTGTCTATGGCTGTGCAAACTCCTTGAAGATCTCAGCACCAGCTGTGGCTAAAGCACTTCTCTGTACTGAGTTTCAGATGGGATGCAAACAAACACGTTCTAAGGCACAGACAGCTGAGGATGCTGTCACTACAGAGAGAACTGCTGGGCACCTCACACCTCAACGCTCAGATGTTCAACCCACCGCTGAGTCGTCTCAGAAATGCCTGGAAAGCTACAAGACGATGCAAAGCTTTCTTCTACCCTGCATTTAATTAAGAACAAAATTAATCTATCTCTTAGTTTATGCAAAATGTGACCGTCTTTACAGGGCAACATTCACACATTGCACCATAAGCCTCCCCACCACAACACCCAGCAAATGAGAACCAGGCACTGGATGTGACACTCACCAGCAACAGCTGTGGGAACTCTTCCAGCTCTTCAGTCTCTGAGAGCCTCCACGAAGCAATGATTTGCCATTAACCCCAGATCTGAACTCTCTGATTAAAATCTTGCAAGGGCTGCACTGACAGTTTGAAGAGTTCTTTTTAATAATTACTGCAGAGACGAACATTCCCCTGGAGACATGGGGTAGCATTCCACCTCCCAAAGTCAAGCTATCCATTAATCACAGGAGAAAAGAGGCCACAGAACGCAGCATGTTACTGTTTACTAATTTGACCAGCCGCGGTCCTTCAGGCGCTGCGCACACCGCCAGCCTGGGTGGTCTCACTAACGAGAAGCACTAACGAGAAGCGCCCCAGCTCTGTGTCACACTTCTCCAACGAGGACTGTGCCACACTGCACTCGTGTCCCCGTGCACCCAACCAATGTCACACGGCCCCACTGACGAAGCCGCAGCTCTGGGCTTCGAGAGACGGCGTGCAACGGCACGGGTCAGGCTGAAGGCATCAGCCTCTCACTGCTTCCACTTCACACGTCAGTTCATTCGAGAGGATTCTACCACTGTGTTTAAGGGCAACGAGGGAGAAGCCAAGCTACTGCATAACCTGGTGATAGCCAGGTAAAACTCTGCAGCACAACGTGTGGGAGCGTGACGTCCCTTCCAATGTGCAGCAGATGTCTGGTGCTCCATCTACACAAGGCTTACCCCAGCTCAGGACAAAGCAGCACACAGACATCCAACAAGTCTCAGGCAGCATCAGCCCCTGCAAGCATCACTAAAGCCACAGAAGGAAGAAAACACTCAGGACTTTCACAGAATCACAGAATTGTAGGGGTTGGAAGGGACCTCCAGAGATCATCGAGTCCAACCCCCTGCCAAAGCAGGTTCCCTACAGCAGGTCGCACAGGTCGGCATCCAGGCAGGTCTTGAACATCTCCAGAGAAGGAGACTCCACCACCTCCCTGCAAACACTTTAATGCTCCTGCAAACACTACTGACAAGACACAAGGACGAGGCCTTCATCTGCACAACTTCTGACACCTTTCTTAAAAAAATAAACGAATAAAAGTAAACTCAGCTGTGGGACTTCCAGCTAAAAACTGCACCACAGAGTCTGAAAACAGCTAAACTCAGATCCTAGAAGCCTTGTAAGCACTTTGATTCTTGGGAGGATAGAGGGAAAGCGAATGCGTTCACAAACGAGCAGAGGATTTTCCTTACAGAATTGGAAAAGAAGAGTCAAGTTACACTTTTGAAATGGAATGCACAGCTGTTGTCAATCCACAAATAGGAAAAGATTGCCAACAACGCCGCTGCTCAAAAGGGACGCCCACAAATCAGCTCCAATTTGAAAAGTCTTTGGGGAGAACCCACTGGTATGAGACAAGTGGTAGAAGACACAGGGATCAAAACACTGGGCCTGGTGGAAGTCCTGCAAGGCCTTTGTCCAGAACCCAGGTGCTATTTCACACCCCTGCTCCTTCTTAGTGCCATTTCATTGGCCTCTCTCCTCCCCGCAATAGCTCCAGGTGCACAGAGGGCACATCACACCCCTTGACTTCTCCATGGAACCTGGCATGCCACACAGCTCCATAGGTTTCAGGACACGATTAGGGAGATGCCATCAATTTTCAGCATATCCTTTATGCCGGGACACCTGGGGATTAGACAGTGCAAGATATGCAACAGCAACCCAAAGCAAACAACAGCCCAGTGTCCAGGAACACCTGCTTTAGGAAAAGAAAAAGTCTGAGCAAGTGCCCCTAGTAACACAGCTAAGAACTCTCTAAGCAATCTGTTGTTAAATTCGAGCTCTGTACACCTCTGGAAGCCAACACATCCACAAAGAAGGAAAACAGAACAAGAGATTCCAGCTTCAATTCACGTTAACATTCAGCTCCTCGTTCAGTCAGTGCTCCGCACCAAAACCTCCAGACTGAAACTCTGCAAATCCCATTCCCTTCTGTAAAGTGGCAAAATTAAAGCAAAAAATCCAAATCAATGACACTATTTGCATAGAATGCAAAGTGGCACCTTTCACAAATCAGTTCCGCAGCCTGCGTTAGCATTCCAGCAGCTAAGACAGTGCACCCCTTCACACTTCCTCTTAGCCACAGGAACAAATCTGCAGTGCCCAGAGATAAGCATTACCATCACCCTCCCATGCTGCCCACTTTTATCCCTCACAGCAGATTCAGTGTCATTAAACATGCTTTTGGCACATACATACCCTCCTCCTCCTTTGGAGATTTCTTTTTGAATCCTCCATTCTTATGGTTACTCCTTTGGCAGCTTGAAGTAGTGAAATAGTAAGTGCTACCTGCAGGCAAGCAGAGTTACACAGTCACCACCACAGACCTCAGGTGACAGAGAGAGGTGGACCAAGGGCAGCAGAAACACAGGAGCTCCAAGTGCACAGAAATCCAAGTTCCACACCCACCCAAGAGCACAGCTTCGTCTGCGTGCCAAGAAAATGAGACAGCCTCGTAAGAGGGAGCAATGGGAGGGACAGACTCCTCCAGTTTCCTTATATAACGCATACTTCTCAACAATCCAACTGAAGACACGAGTTTGTTCAGACATGATTTTAGTACGGCAAAGAAAATCATCTGGAGAAACGTGTCCAGTACTGGAACATTCAAACACTCCCCAAGGCACAGCTGGAGTTAACTGGTACGGTCAGTTAAAAGCAGCCTCGTGCTGGAGCTGGAAACGCATGCTAAAGGAAACCTGGAGTGCTGGAGTTAAAGGCAGGTTTCTCAGAACGTGCTGCTGGGATTCTCTAATAAAAGCCAAGAAATCATGGCAACAAACGATCAAACTCAGAGTAGCTGCTACAGAACAATGAAGTGAAAGCTTTGTTGCCAAGAAAACACAAAAAAAATAAGAGAAGCAGAGCAACTGATTTAAGGACGATAGCTTCTATTTCTCACAGTGAATGATATTTTCCTCTTAGGCTTTGCTAATGAGACACAGGAAGATTCTCCAGTTTGAAGTCTGCTGCTTTTAAATGACTAAGGACTGCAGTGCTTACTGCATCACACCGAGCTCCTTGTGGAAAGGTGCCACTGTTCCTCTCTGCCACCAAACAACAAGCCAGAACACTGATCTCAAAGCCAAGAACAGCACAGCTGGATTTCAGCTTGAGGAATGACAAGGAAGGAAATTTCTCCTCCACCTGTACAGTTGCTCTTCAGGACTCACCCAAGAGATTCCAAAGCCTGGCTGGATCTCGAATGAGGCGCTGTTTCAGTAGGACTCCACCCAGACCTCGACACGTGGGAGAAAGTGTTTGTGACAGAAGGCCCTGAAGAGGAAGATTGAAAAAAAAAAAAAAAAGACAGCTATTGGAAAAGTACTGTGACTGCTTACCATCCCCAGATCCCATGAGACAAAGACTTCTGAACATGAAAATACTGCGGGTAAGTCACAGGGCCGGCAGCTGGAAGCCCAAATGTTATTCCTGGTTGTGCTATGAACTTGCCATGGGACTGTGAAGATGTTGTTTACAATCCAGTTTAAAGAAAGCACTGCTATAAATACAAACATATACTCGAGACACTTGAAAACTGCGACCGTGTTCCTTGCTGTAGCTGTGCTCTAAACTCTGTAGAGACAGGTGGGAAATCAACTCCTCAGACGCAGTACAACCCCATAGCAGAAAACCTTAAGCATTACTACATTGTAGCCCTGTCCACAACTGTAACACAACTGTAACACAACTGTTTTCCCCACGGGAATTCAGCAGCAAGCTTACAGCTTAAACCCGCATTTAAGGGCAATTTCACAGCATCTGAAAGTTGACACGAACTAATACCTTGAGTAAACACAAGTCTTCCCCCTTCTCAGCTGTAGGACTCCCTCTATGGCACAGAGGCAAGCTGCTGTGCAGCAAACCAGACAGCAGCAACTAAGTTAAAATCCCTCACCTTTTCCTCACCTGCTAGGCAGCAACACAACTGCTGTTGTGTTGGCAACGGTGCTTTTTGGGATGGAGCAGTGTGGGCTAATTTAAATTGACCACAGAACTGAGGCAGCTGGAAAGCCTGGCATGATGCATTCAGCAACCCCACAACTGTTCTTCTTCCGCTGCCTACTTGGGCTGCCTGTGCTTGATCCCTGCACTGAAGCACAGAGCATTGGGTCCTGCAGGAGGCCTAGCTCGTAGAATCACAGAACGGCTTGGCTCAGAAGGGAGCTTACAGGTCACCTTGTTCCAACCTCCTGCTTGGGCTGCTGGGATGCCCAGGCAGTGAATTAATCTCAAAGAGTGCTGAAATCAGGGCATCAGGCTCCACAGCTGAATTGCTTCACACAAGATATACCAATCTGGCTTTTCTGTGCAATTTTCCAATCTGCAGACCTAAAATTTTGGGACCCAGGATTGAAACGTATCGAATTAAGATACATTTGCTTTGAATGACATTCACTGACACGGATATCTTCAGAATCGTTTAATTTCCCATACCCTTTACTGAGGATTTAGAGAAAAAAAATCGCCTCTCCCAGCTAGTAATTAGCATTACAACAGTTCCACACACCGCGGAACGGGAGAAAGCCTCCCAGGCACTCCTAGCAGCCAGCAGCCGCGCAGGGACTGCAGGAGCGCAGCTTCAGAGGGCACTCGGTGACACGGCGAGGCACCGGAGCCGGCTGTGCAGGGATGTCCGACCGCCAAGGCTCTGAGCGCAGACGGAGCTGTGGCGTCCATGTTGCAGGGGAGTCGGACAGACGGCCTTTAAAGGTCGCCTCATAAGGATTCTATGATTGAGCGACTTGCTCTGAGGCAGCCAAAGCCCTCTCCCAATTCTCTACCCACCGCTCTCTGTGCTGTAAAACGAACGAGTGAAGACGGCGGAACCGCGAACGGAAAGCGGCCTTTTCTCTCGCTGTCAGACAGGCGCCGTGCTGCGGAGCGGGGCTCGACGGGCCCCGAAGGCCGCGCAGCTCCGGCCCCGCTCAGCTCCCCGGGCCGAGAGCCTCTGATCAACGCCAGCCTCGGCGACGGCCCGGCGGCAGACCGCGCAGCGTATGCATAACTCGTACGGACGGCAGCCCTGTGCGACGGGCGCTGAATAGAAACAAAATAAAGCCGCGAACCGCCGCTCCCCAGGCCGCCCGCCCAGCCCCGTTACCTGCGGGCCCCGGGGCCGAGGCCGGGCCCACGCCGCGGGGTTAGCCCGCCAGCCGCAGCGGCCCCGCAGCAGCAGGAACCGAAGCAGCGCCATGTCCCACTCCCGGGAGGAGGCGGCAGCCAGAGAGCGCCGAGGGAGCGCCGCGCCGGGAGCCGCAGGCCTCAGCGGGGACGGAAGCGGGCGGCGAAGGGCGGGCGGCCATCTTGGGGCCGGGCGGGCCGCGCTGCCATGCCGCAAGATGGCGGACGCGGGGGGCGGCGCCGCGCGGTTACCGCGGCAACGGGGAGCGGCGGGCCGGGGAGAGGAAAGCGGAGCGAGGCCGTGCCGTCGCCGAGGGAGATCCCCGCTGACCGCCCCGCGTACCGCGCCGGTCGGGTGCCCTCAGCCCCGCTGCCACGCGAGCCTCCTGCTGCGCTGGGATGCTGCAGGTCCGATCTCCGCAAACACCGGCTGCCTCCGACGGGCCTCCCTGCAGGAAGACGCATTTCTTCTTTGCTGTGTTTCTCCTGGTTTCTGCAGTTTCTGCCCCCCCCCCGCCCCTCGGCTCTGCCGGCTCGCCCATCTGACGTGTGTCAGGCATTCTGGAAGTGCAGATTGCAGGGCTACGTAAAACAGTAATAAATAATTATCTGTGTGGAGGATCTCTTCCTTCCCAGCAGGTCCGAATTAGCATCCTCTTTCTAGAAGAGTCTCTCAGGACGTTAATTGTCATCTGCCCCCTGGGATGTATCCAAGCAAACCTTCCACCGGCAAGGTCTATTAGCATGTTAATGTCCCCCTCACTCCTGGAAGTGTCTCTGTATCACTGGCTTAATCGTCAAACAGCTTAATTTACAGACACAAAATTAAACCGGTTGCAATTAATCCATAGGGGCTGGCCATAGCTGGCAGTGTGGCTGGGGACACCGCTCCATGGAGCCTGGCACGGCCGGCAGGCTGAGCCGCTCCATGGCCACGTTGCTGCCCACCTTGGCTCCGGGCTCTCCTGACACTTTTGCTGCCCGCAGAGAGGCTCACCAGCACACCACGCAAAACCCATGGCTGGCTCCTTTGAGGCTGCGAGGAGCCCGGGTCCGACACGGCACAAAGCCGATGGCGAGATGGGTGCTGCAGAGCTGTGGCTGCCCTGAGGTGGCCCTCAGGCTGGGGAATGATAGCAGGGCGTGTGCTGTGCCAGCCTACGCTGCCTTCTTTGCTGGGTGCCTGACAGAGGGGGGTGTCACATCTCCACCTGCCACGCAGAGGGATTCTCGCTGGGAGGTCATTTACACTTCAGCTATGTTTGAAGGAGGAAATAGCTTGTTCAAAAATGCTGACTGATGGGGAAGGCTCCTTCTAGCACAGGCTGTGCAGACGGAGCAGAGACGAGTGAGAATTCCAGTAGGAAAACATGGGATGCAGCAACCACAGCAAAGTGCACCAGGAACAAGGGGCTGTGGGTCCCAGCACCTCACTACCTCAGCTTCGCTCAAGACGTGTCACAATATGCTTCTACTGATTCTGTGATTAGACCTGTTGCTAGTTAAGCCTGTCTATTTTTAAGAGTTGCATCATTAAAATAGAATTACAGCCCAATTATAAGTGAAGCTGTGCAGTTTGCATAGACAGGACAGTCCTGCCTTCTGCCATGCTGACCCAACAGGGTGCCAAACGGGTTTTGTTATGCCTGCCTTATGCTTTTGCTGCAGTCTCAGTGCAGGCAAACTTGCACCCATTTAATTAAGCAAGGTACTGAGAGCTGAATGGGTCCCAGCTCCAGCACAGACCATCACCTAGCTGAGCCTAGGTGGCTCACTGACTGCAGCAACCCGCATTTCAGGTCTGTGGGGCTCAGTCTGGGACCTTCTCAGCCAGAAGACGCCGGCCTGGATGTGACAGACCTGCAAGGACTGGTTATTTTCAGACATACCACATAGCTGGAGTTGACGCAATTCCTATTCCTCTTTCACACTGTGCCTCAAAGGCAAGCAGATGATGAGCCACCAGGAAGGGGGTGCTGGGGTCCTTGCCTTGCTCGTGCCAACGCAAAGCCGTGCCAGGAAGGAGAGAGGCGAGAAGTTTTGCTCCGTGTGCAGCCAGCGATCACCATGGCTGCACTGCGACTCCTGCGTGGGTGGCTCAGGCTGCGCTGTGCATGGGAAGGCAAGTGCTGTCCTCCCTGCGTGTGAGAGATGACCTTGGGAAAGGTGGCTTCAGTCACTGTCCTTGAGCTGGCAATATGCTCCTCTGGGAGTAAGCCAATATTCTGAGAAGACAGATATAACCTGATCCAGGCTTGGCCTCGCTGGGATGTGCTCCAGCCATGACATCACTCGGTAATGCTGCGTGTGTTTACTACTGGGGGAAGGTGCGGGATTGGAGTCTGAAATCCCTGCTTTATCTCCTGAGTAGGTTAGGAAGAAAAAGCAGCATTAGCAGTCCCATCCGTGCATTTTTTAAGGCCAAGAGAAATCAGTTTCCAACTCAGCCTTTCAGCTCTGCTATGCTGGAAATCTCACATCTCCTGTTTTCATGCTCCCCATGAGACAGCCTTGCCACCCTTGCTCTATCCACAAGCCTCAGGAAGCTCCCGCAGGACCCCATCCACCCACAGACTCATCTCAAAGCAGCACTTTGCAAACTGAGTGAATGGATACCTGGAATCAGGTGTCCCACTGCACCGCCGCAGCCCTGACATCAATAATGAATCAAAGGATTAAATGTAGAGCTGAAGCAGACAGAAGGTAAATTCGGACTTTTAAAAAGACGTGGCATTGCTCTGTTACCCAAATCCCTGTCACACTGCCAGGTGCTCTTAGGAGAATTCTTGGTGGATGACTGAGGTGGCTGCTCCCCTTTAACACAGCAAGGCCAGGTACCCAGGGAAGCCTTAGGCTCGGTAAGGAAGGGCATGCTTAAAAGACCACGACTGCCCCTTGAGCACAGTGAAACTCCTGACCAAGGAAAGATCTCTTTAGCAGATAGCCTTTTTATTTGAGCCAGTCCCAAACTATTGCACCTATTCCTCCAGGAACAGTCTGGGATCTCTGCAAGTGTTAGTGTTTCCTGGTGCTGTTGCCAGACGTTGCCACTGTTTCCCTGTGTGCTCCTCTCATCGTGCATGGGAGAGCATGGCACTGAAACTGCTCCTTTCTGTGGGCACCAGGGCATGCCAGCCCCACAGCCGGGCAGCCACAGGCTTTGGGCACGACTGGGACACACCGCTGAGCTACAAGCTTTTATATCTGAGCCACTTCTGAATAGCAGACAGTTTAACTTTAAGACAGGTAGGTGACAGATGGCTATAGGCAGGGGATCAGAGGGAATCAGTGGTACAGCAGCAGAGACTGAACCGTGTGTCAGGACAGCTGCCAGTGACGGCTTATGAACTGCTAGGAAAGGCAAGAAGGAGCAGTGCTCTGACAGAGGGATTCGGGTACCTCTCAGCTTGGCTTGCAGGGGTAGAGCAGGAGGAGAGGAGTAGCTTGTTTGTAACTCGGAGGCCACGAGCGAGCAGATTGCTCCATGGGAATGCACTCCCCGGAGAGCTGCTGAAGCACACGGCGCTCGGAAGCCCAGGCATCCATCTGTGTGCAGGAGGGGGCTGAAGTCAGCTCCAAACCCGCAGACAGGAAGTCAGTAAGCTCCAAGCGAGCAACTGTCACTGTGCACTGCTCAAATCCGGGAGCAAACTAGAAACCTAAAGCCTGTCATTAGGAATCATAAAAACAGTAATTAGAGCAGGACTGTCACAAGTTCACACCCAAAACATCAATACAAGGCATTTACCCAGCAGCGGGGGACCACTACCCTTGGAAAGCATCCTCTGCTAGGCACGCTCCACCTTGCATTCACATAGGCATGAGGTCTTGCAGGGAGCCATGTACACAGACTTCTTAGCCATTAAAACATCCTGAAGCCTAGAGGGGTCAAAAAATGCCACTCCCTGCACAGGTGAAGCACAGGAGCTGAATCAGCTTCTGCCCTATCCTGGATCCCTGTGGGTTCCTGAGGCTTCCCAGGGCTGGGACTGCTGGCTGCAGTACACTGGACTGAGGAGTGAAACCTCCAGGAGGAGGCTCATTCAAGTGAGCTGTTGCACGAGTGCAGCCTTATGGTTTGACTGCATCTCGCAGAGCTGTGAGCAACCACGTCATTACAAAGCAGGCGTGAGCCAGCTTTTTATTTCTTAATGGCAGCCCAGGCAGAAAGGCCTTGTTTGAAGTGGGGGTGTTCTTTAACAAAAGGAACATACAGATGGCTTGAAAGTAGTTATATCTAAGAAAAGTGAGATGGTGTGCAGTTGGGGAGCTTTGTGCTGCAGCACCAGGAGCATCAGCAGTATTTGCTGGCTTCCCACAGGGCCGCGTTTCTGAGTGGTTTGCCTTGTTTGCCAAGACCATTTCTCTTCAAAATGTTAATAGGTGAAACATGAGCCACGCTTAAAGTTCTTCTAATCAAAGTCCTTCTGAAGCTTTATTCTCTCGGCTTCTTTGATGTTGGCATTTGACTGGTCACACAGCATTCAGCCCTGATGTTTGACTGGGGCAGTCATAATTCACACTGTACAACTTACTAAATACAGATGCCCATCTTTGCCTGCTGATGGGAGCTGAATCAACAGGGAATTGCACCCACACTAACACCAAACAGGTATTTTTGCCCTTATGGTTGAGATAATGGTTCCTTCCATTAGAAGGCAGTCGCTGTAGAGCTGAAGTAGTTAGAGGAGCATGGCTACCCCGAAGTTGCAAAAGCAGTCGAGCGGCTGACGCCGATGCTGGGCAGGGTTAGACAAGGAAAGAGCAGCAGAGCTAGGACCAAAGGATCACTGTGCTCCTTCCCCAGAGTTACTGTCCTTTCAGCTTGCTGTTGCAGGCAGAACTAGGTCTGAAAGCACATTCCCCAAGTGCCCTAATTTCTCTGCCTTCATGCAGCGTTCCCTTTCCTCCTCAGCACCAGAATATTTGTTTCATTGTAGGATTTGACAGCTCACAACCCTCAGTGAAGGATAAAAGTACTCATCAATCAACGATAGCTTTTCCTCTGAAGTATTCTAATTACGTTGCAGAGAGCAAAAGCCAGTCTAGGGTTAACAAAAGCAGGCAGGTTGAAGAGCCTCATCCCAGAAGTCTCACCTAGAAAAACAGGAGAACAACCGCCAGACAAAATGACTCCTCCCCGTACTCCTGCTGTTAGCTTTCTATCACAAAGAACTTCTAACATCCCTCCCTGAAATAGGTTGATAGTCCACGCTGCTGTGTTCAAATAAAAAAGGTCAGGATGACACAGAAAGGCTTTACCTTCCTCCCCAGCGCTGGATCTTTGACCTGGATGACATTCAAGGCTGTCAAGGAAGCAGTTACAACCAACTATATTTAGGAAATGAAAAAGCATATTTCCCCTCTAATCTACTAACTCAGAGGCACCAGAGAAGCAGACACTTGTTTGCAGTGAAGCGTGATGAGCAGCCTAATGAAAGGGAGGACAAGAAAAAACAAAACCACCTTGCTTTTGACTAGTTTAGTAGGTCTTATGGAGGAGGAAGATGGGTAGAGATAAAGAAGACTAGGCCGAAGTGGAACACAGGACCAGCTTAACAGGCTCAGAATAAATCTCTCCTGCTGTTATTTAACAGCAGTTGGACACGTGCTCCTCTACCAGCCCTTCATTGCTTCCGAGCCCAGCTGAGCTCTGCTGGGGGCTGCTGGCACCCAGGCCACCCTCAGCATACGAGGGCAATCCTGTGGCTGCCGGGTGTGTGACATGGAGTGGAACTGCAAATGCCAAGAAAGCACTTGCAATTGTGGGCCACGCTCTGGGAAGATGAGATTAAAAAAACAGAACCAGAACGATTTCTGATGAGGTCACTGGTAGAAACTATTTGAGAGCTGCTGCCTCGGGGGTTCCCCATCCTCAGTAACCAAAACAAAACACGGTGCTGCAGCTGCAGGCAGCTCCCACCCACACCAGGCACCTCTGCCACCCCGCTGGGAGGGGAGCTGCGCACGTGCACTCTTTTTACTTGCTGTGAAGATCTACACCATAAACAGGCTTCTTCCTGGGGGGTGCTGGAGTGTTTATCTTGACAACACAAAGGGGCTCCAGTGCTGCATTTCTGCTACATCTGGTGGAACAATCAGGCTTCGCACAGCAAGCAGAAAGGCTGTGCCGAGCTCAGCAGCTGCCTTTGGGTAACAGCACCTAGCAGTACTGCTGGCGTTCCCTCAGCTCAGACTCTACAGATAGAAACAGAGGGGCGTCGTGATGAGATACAGCAGCAGTTCAGGGCAGTGCGGCGGCCAGGCGGGACGAAAGGCACCAGCAGTGTTTACTCAGGCACAGGAACTGAGCCGTCACGTGGCTGCCTGCCTTCACCACCAAGCATACGTGCACTTACTATGGCTGCTTTCCCCAGCCCAGTGGGACAAAGGCAGGAGGCTCGTCCAGGCAACAACGAATGTCCTCGCTTGGAGAGCCGAACAGTTTGGTTATTCAGAAGAGAGCCTGTTAATAAAAACAGAACAAAAGCCTCCGGGTATTTCACAATGATGATGTGGAATTGGAGAGGAAAAGCAGAGAGCAGCACGGGGACGAGCAGCGCGGCCTGGAGCGGGCGGCCTAAGCTGGGGCTGTCTGCAGGGCACCGAAGCCGGGCTCTATCAGCAGGCTGCACTAACCCTGAGGCCGGGGGACCTCGCTGACCTCAGCCTGAGCCGCAACCAGGAAAGAACGCCAGCTGCTGCCGGGGAGCCAGCACGGCAGCTGCGGGATTCGCCACCAGGACTTTCTAGCCAACTGAAAGAACTGAAAGCCTGGTGAAAGCCGAGGGAAGCGACGAGTAACAGAGCTGTCGAGGGGAAGGAGGCTCGGGAGCGCGGCCCGGCCCCGCACGCAGCACGACAGGCCCAGCGGCCCCGGCGGCGCTACGCCAGGCTCTGCCCGAGCCCCGCCCCCCGCCCTGCGCTGCGGCCACAGGCCCCGCCCCGGAAGCGCCCCCTCCGCGAGCTCCCGCCAATGAGCCGCCGCGCCGCCGGGACACGTCAACCAATGGAGGCCGCCGCCCGAGCCGCCCTCGGCCCTGCCTCCCGGCTCCCGTCAGCCCCTGCGTGGCGGAGAGGTTTATGGGTGCGGGGGGCGCCACGGTGCCGCGTTTTCCATGCCCCCCTCCCGCGGCGGCGCGCTGACGTCACGGCGGCGCTGGTCGCTCCGGCCAATGGGACGCGCCGACGCGGCGGACCAGTGAGCGGCGGCGTCTCGGCGGTGGTGAGGAGCGGGCGGGCGGCAGCGCTGCGAGCCGTGAGCCGGAGCCGAAGGCCGAGCGCGGCGGGGCCATGGAGCGCGGGGCCAGGAGGGGCAGCCCGCGCCCCCTGCAGTAGCCCCGCGCCAGCCGCGCCCTCCCATTCCCCCCCGCCGCCTCCTCTATGCGGCGGGGCCGGCGGAGCCGCAGGCCTCGCTCCTCCGCGAGGCGGCCCTCGGCCCTCTGAGCCTGGTAAGGAGAAAGGGCGACGGGCGCTGCGCGGGAGGGGGGGGCGGCCGGCCGGCCGGGGGCTGCGGAGCGGAGCGGGGGAACAATGCCGAGCGGAACGGCGGCTTCCGCTTCCCGTGCCGTGAGCCCGCGGGCAGCGCGGCGGTGGCCGCGCTCCGTCCGTCCGTCGGACGCGAGCGGCCTTTGTGCGCCGTGCGGCGTCGGTGCCCCGGAGCGAAGGCCGGGGAAAAAAGAGGGGAAATACGCGGAAAAATAGGAAAAAAAAAAATCCTCGCAGCCCGGCCTGAAACCCCCCGGCGTTGGGCGGCGCGGCCGGGGGCTGCGGGGTGCGTCGGACCCCCGCCCTCTGCCCTGAGCCGGCACCGCGGCTGTGCGGGGCGACGGGGCGGCCGCCGTGGGATCCGGTTGCAGCCCCCCCCCGACCCCGGTCTGTCCTCATGGCGATGCGGGGCGCGGAGCTGCGTGTGCGGGCACCGAGCGGTGGTTCCTTGTGGTGCGGTGCGGCTTTATGGCGTCTCTCCGTCTTTTTTTCCTTTTTTTTTTTTTTTTTTTTTTTCCGGGGGCTGAAAACGTTCCTCGCAAAGGGAAAATGAGATGATCCCCAGCGCGTGTTTTGCTACGTGCTTTTGTGCGTGCTCTGCCCTCAACATCTGATCCGGTTCACTTAAAGAAACTCGGTGGTTTCACAAGGCAGCCGGGTGCTCCATAAGCACTGCAGCACGTCTGCCCGACGGCACAGCGCGGAGCTCCAGCTGCTCGTGGGACGTGCAGCCCGACCCGTGCCGACTTCCCGTCTCGGTGGGGAAGTTCTCTGCTGTGCACCGCCGAGCCCTGCGAGCGGTTTTCCTGCGGCGGAAGCTTGCAGGCAGCGGCCCCGAGTTGTGCCCCAGCCCCGGCACGGAGCTGTGCCTGGCCGCTCCCACCCAGGTGTGCTGGGTGCCGTGGAGCCGAGCTCTCCCTTGTGGGGATGCTCTGGGTTTTTCCTCTCTGGCTGCAGGAGAGCCCTCCGGCCCCCGGGAGCCGTGCAGGGCTTGCTGGGGCTCATCCTGCCCGCAACCCGCTGCAGGGGGCTGTGAGCCTGCGGCGCTGGGCTGGCTGGGGCTTGCGTCGACTCCGTGGTGGCTGAGCGAGCGCTGAGGCTCCGCTCTGCAAAATGCACAGCAGCTCGGAGCTGGGTGAGCAGCAGCCTTGTGTGCCGTGCCCCCCATTCCCAGCTCCTTTGGGGTTGTGAGCCCTGCCTGCTGGGAGCTGGGGAGGCGGAGCGCGGCGCTTCTCCATCAGTTCTGCTTTCAGAAATGAACTCTTGGATCTCTGTTTCATAACAATATGGCATAGGGTGAATTGATTTTTTTTTTTTGTTTTTTTGTGCTGTTTTGTTTTTATGTCACTGTGAAGGCATTTTCCCAGACTCAGTGCATGGATTGTCCAACGTGTAAATCAGTTCTTGAATGGGGGAGGAAGAAAACTCGTAATCGCCACTCAACAACAACAAGAAGCCACCCTAAACCCAACCAAACAAAAGGAACAGAACCCTTCAGCGAAGTGCAGGGCTTCCCCTGCATGCAACCTGTTAGGGTGACTTTATTCCCTGCTTCTCTGTTTTAATTGAGCAGACCCCCCCGGTGCCGTGCAGGGCTGTGCTCACCAGAGCACACAAATGCATTTCTCTGGGGTCACTGCAGCCTGGTGCTGTTAATCAATGCTGCACCAGCAGTGCTCCCCCAGCGAAGCAGATGGGCTGCCTACAACTGGTGGTGATTATTCCAACTGTGTAATTGTAACGTGGCTGCGCCATCACAGTGTTTCCTGCAGATACTTCAAAGGGAGGCTCCTGACACATCTATCTCTGCAGCATTTAATCTGTATGCTTGGGCTTGATGTTGTGGCTTTTGGACGTACGTTGGAAGTGTTACCATTGTTTTTAACCCCTTTTTTTTTGGGCATTCAAGGAAGGTGATGTTCTGTAATAAGGTTCTCCAGGACAGCGCTGCCTGGGGACCCCGTGGCGTTGTGCTGGGCTTGGTTGGGTTTGGGCCTGTGTGGTCACTGTGCTGGCAGTGAGGAAGGGCTTTCAGCTATTGGGAAATAGTGCCTGGGTGTCCTGTGCTGTGTACATGGTGTTGTTTGGGGGCAGTCTGTCCAAAGAGGCTGTGGATGGCCCATTCCTGCAGGCATTCAAGGCCAGGCTGGATGTGGCTCTGGGCAGCCTGGGCTGCTGGTTGGTGACCCTGCACACAGCAGGGGTTGGAACTGGATGAGCACTGTGCTCCTTTGCAACCCAGGCCATTCTATGAATCTGCCTGGTGCGGGCTGGAGCTGTAGCTGGGGACTTCTTGTTACATGCTGGAGAGTTGCTGCTGCACGGGAAGGAGATTCAGAGCTGCTTAATTGCATTGCACAGGGCAAACAAGCAGCAGATCTCTGCTCTCCTGGCCTGCTAGCAGTACCTGAATTTCAGGCTCGGCCGTCTGCGTTCCGGGTGGAAATTCCTCCCTGGCATGGAGATGTAATGGCGGTCGTCAGGCAGCAAGTAGCGACAGGCACTGGTGCTCGGTGCCCAGCAGAGCCGGTGCTGCCGGGCGGGCCTTCCCTGCTGGCTGTGCTCGTGGCTCCTTGGGCGCCTCCGTTGGCACCGAGCGGCAGCGAGGGCTGCGTGGGGAAACCGGTCGTGTCTCTGTATCAAAGGCTGTGGTGTTTCGTGATAAACCCGCCTGTATTTTTACCCCCGTCTAATTTAAACCGTCTGCGTGACACCGAGCAGGAATGATTTGTATGCAGCTCTGAAATATTTTCCTTTCCCCTGCGAGAGGGGAGGCGAGGAGCTGAGGGCACGGAGTGCCTCGCAGCCAACTCTTATGTAATTTGTATGCCACTGAGCGCAGCCATAAGGAGCACTAAAGGAGAGCTGTGGGAAATGGCAGCACCCTGTGCTTCCTCTGTGCCTCCTTGCACGGAATGCTGCTCTGCCATCTCCTTCGTAGCTTGTAAGAAAACAAGGAGGAGAGGAGCTGAGGTGCTGGTGGCATTGAGGAGCCTGGCTGTGCTGTGTGGGCTGTGGCAGCTGGGCTCGGGGCTCCTGGAAAGCTGCTCTCATCTCCCTGCTGTGTGTGCTCTGGTAACCCTGTGAGAGCCCCACACCTCTGACAGATGAAACGCTGCCGTTCCTGAACTTATTTGAGTAAAATGTTTTTATGGATGGTATTAGCCCCGTGGCTCCGAGGATAATGCAGCCATTGCGTGGCAGAGATCTTGCTTTGATCTGACAGCTTTCAAGATCCATTTCCAATCACCGGTTCCATTAGCTCTGTTTATAGCAGTGCCCTCAGACTCTGCGCTGTTTACACCGCTCTTCGGGCCGGTGAGGTTTCTGTGTGCACGCATTACCAGACTGAGGAAATGACTGGGTTCAGAGAATGGCATCGTCTCTGTGAAGGTCTGATCGCTGGCGAGGCAGCGGCAGCTCTGGGTGCCCAGCTCAGCTCTGGGTGCCCCCAGGACGGAGCAGCGCTGGGTGGCCCCACGCAGGCGGTGCGGCCGTGACCCGCAGGGCAGTGCCGGGGCTTTCCCAGCTTTGGCAGCACGCAGGCGCAGCTCCCGGCCCTCCGAGATGATTTTCATTTTCCTCAGCCCGTCACGTGGGCGGTTTGTTCTGCTCGTTGCAGTGCAGCTGCTGCCAACGGAGGCCAAAAATGCAGCGTGCGGATGTTGGGAATGGGGGGGGGGGCCGCCCCGCAGAGCGTGCTGCAGCCCGGGGAGCGCAGCGTTTTCTAGGTCAGGGTTGAAGGCTCTGTCAGCCCGCTGATGTGCATTGCTGCTGCTCGGCCCCGCCATATGGATGCGTGCGGTGCTGCCCTTGGCATTCATGCGTTGAATTATTTATCCTCTAAAAAAAAAAAAAAAAAAAAACCAGCCCAATCCCTCGGCAGCCTGCTTTCCCACGTCTGAGAACCGAACGTAACCGGTTGGTATTTTTAGAATAAATCTTCCCCTGCAGTTTATGGCG